GGTGGGTGGGTGGGTGGGTGGGAAGGTAGATAGGTAATCAGACAGATATGAAAGCAGGTAAATGGATCTGTAAATATGACAACAAGCATAACAATCATAAATATGAACACACGTATAAACACAGAACTAGCACATAAAGAAATAAATACCAACAGATGTATGTCTATATAGAGTCTCTATATATATATATATTCTGAGAGAGAGAGAGAGAGAGAGAGATAGATATATATATATATGCATCCATTTACTTGTTCAACCATATGTTCATTTATGTTTATGTACTTGTTTCATTTATATAGCCAGACAGCGTGAGTCTGCAGCACGCATACAGGACCAGACTCCAGGACAGCCGAGGTCAGCACCATCATGCTGCATTGTGCCTGGGAATGTGCTGGTGGTGGGTCTCTGTTCATCGAACGATAGAGTGAAACTCCAATATCGTTCTAGGTACAGGGTTTGGGGATTCAGAGGTATCTTTCGTATAGTTTAAGTTAACTTAAGTTGACAAGCAACCCCCAAGCAAGAGTTTCTTGCAGCTCTTCCCTGATGGACATGGGATCCGGTTCTTCATGTGGCAAGTGGACTGGATCATGACGTGGACACCTTTCCCCTCGTCGCCCGTCCGGGGGTTTAGGGCTCAACAACGACAGTCATGCAGATCCCGACTTCGTGCCAGTCTGTTTCGCCATGGCTGAGATATCGAAAACCTCCAAATATTTACAGGCCCGCTGAAAATCCACGTGCAGAGTACCTTCAGACATCGAGTTGCTGACCGCGTTTGCAGATCCAACTAGATGCTCCACAAAGATGCATGAGCCTCGGCTACACCTGGTGGGAGGTTTTCAGAACCACCGGCAAACTCAAACGACACGCTAAGTTCATCCTACTGCAATACCTGAACCCGAAACCCTGGCCGTCCACAATGATGCTATATCAAGGCCCTGGGGCCCAGTAGGGTGGATCGCGAACGCCAATTTGCATGGCACGCAGACGGCAGCCTGCTCCATCTCTACAGCTCTTAGGCTTCACAGGGCTTCTGGTTGGTTTAGGGGACGGAGCTGTCTTCTGATGCGCAGCCTGCTTTCACAGTTCAGTTTTCCGCTTTGGGACTACACTGCTTTCATTGCTGTCAGTTTCTAAGATCCTGGGGGAGCTTTCAAAGGCACACACACCCCAAACCCTAACACAACGCAAATTCTCAATCACTATACCCCAGCAAGAGATCTATGAACCCTAATATACCCTAACTAAGTACCCCAATTGAAATTTTCGGGCTTTGGTGTTTCGAGGCTTCGAGGATTCCGGACGAGCTGAGTTCCGACATTATACGCTCTAGGCTTACTCTCGGCCATACGATTTCGAGAACAGTCAAGGCCGAATGAAACCAGCTCATAGAGCGAATGTCAGGCTTCAGGAAAGAGAAGCTGATTCACAAAACATGAAGTTCTAGTGCAACACACCAAAATCCACTTACCTGGAGCAATGCGGCCGAAAACAGTCGCAAAGATGGCAACAATATGGAACAATCATCAAGGCACATCATGGGGGGCAAAGCGTGATGGTAGGCAAACTCGTGCCACGACAAACACCAGGAGACTCACCGCCAGTATCGTTCTGCTCATAATCATGGCCAGCACCAAAACAAGAAGAGGTTGAACTGGCGTGCAGTGGAGTGTCAGGTGTAGATCTGATCCCGAATCCCACCATAGCTGCATCTAGGCAGCTGATGAATAACACTACTTTGTGCCCTGTATTTGCGCTGCAGCCATAAGCATCCAAAAGTCTTCGCTCCTGACCCTGCACCCCAACCGGCCGATTATTTACAGTTAACCCGGAACCCTATAGACCCTTGCAAGCCGGCCTATCATCATCACGCAAAGCATCGGTGCGAAGGCCAAACTGCGCTGAACTCCCCCAGCAGAGTTGACGGCCCAGGAACCCATCGTGTGCCGCATGAAATCTGCAGAGAGTCCAGGGATTTAGTGCTTTGTCGGGCTTGAGGCTAGGGTGGGGCTTCCAGGCTGTAGGATTATGTTTTATAATCTTAGGGCAAGCTTCATTGCCCCCTTTGGAAAACATAAAGACGTTTCGAGTGTCACTAGGCATGGGCTTAAGATCCTGTGAGTCTCCAATCTACGAACCCAGAAAGCCCAAGAATTCTTAAACACCCCAGGTCTATTCTCTAAAGTAAGCCTCTGGAAATGAAGACTCTAGGAGATTTTGATTCGAGCATTGACAAGCTTCGACTTGGTCGGCTAGGAACTGGATAATGTGGGGGCCATAACAATTAGAATAGGGTTTTGGGGCCAAGTATATAATAAGGAAACCCAAAAATGATAGTGGTAATTATTTCAGCCCCTGTATTAAGCCAAGGAGCTGCCGACCACTAGCGCCAGGTAGGCGAGGTAGTAGACAACAGTCCTGAGCTGGGCCAGCCAGTGGTCTTTCTTTTCCCAGGATAGGCAGTGCTACTTGGCAGAAAGTCCTTTCCCGCAAAAATCCTGAAGAGCATCTTGGACTGTGGGCATTGCATTGGATTTTCTAGTCGCCCCTGTTTCAAAAGCATACTGCATCACGCACATCCGACGAGCCCCATCCCGAAGAGCAAGCCTCGTCAGTCGTGTTAAGCTATTCTGGCCCATGCACTTGCACGGAACCGGCATATAAGCATAACCATCCATACGAACAAACAAAGGAGTAAGCCTCTGCACATGCATTTCGTCATCTATGTAGTTGCTTGGCTTTCAACCATGCACGTTTCCGGTTGTACGTACATATGTCTGTATGTATACATATGTGTGTGCATGCATGTATGCATGTGTCTATACATAAACATGCACATTCATAGGAACACACATCTCTCTCTGTATACGCAGATTGACATAGATATGTAAATACATACATACATACATACATACATACATACACACATACATGCATACATACATACATACATACATACATGCATGCATGAACGCACGCCCATATACATACATGCATACATACATAGTTACACATACATACATACATACATACATACATTCATTCATTCATTCATTCATTCAGACATACAAACATACATACATAAATACATAGACACATGGGTATGTATGTATGTATGTATATATATATATATCTGTATGTATGTGTGTATGTATGTATGTATGTATGTATGCATGCATGCATGCATGCATGCATGTATGTATGTTTGTTTGTTTGTTTGTGTATATATGTATATATAATTAAATGTGTATATATATATATATTAAACATGCATGCGTATACACATATGTACACACACATATACCTATATATCTGTGTGTGTGTATTGTGTATGTATGTATGTATGTATGTATGTATGTATGTATGTATGTATGTATGTACGAATGTACGTGTGCATATACACTCATAGAAATATACAGTTCAAATAATCATATTCACACCTACTTCTGCCATTGCTGCAATGGTATTATCAATTCCTGTTCTTGGCATTGATGGTAAGGTTATTTTAATTTTGCCGTCGCAGTAGGAAATGCGCGGAACTAGATAGTAGTCGCGTTGGCGAACACCACATGCAATACATGACTTGTGCAGGTTCAAAAGCTTCATCGTGTATGCAAGGTAATCAGACCCTTGGTTTGCGATGGGAAATGAATATCATGCTTGCCCTATCTGCGCTTTCCCAGTCTCAGCTATTGCTAGTCACAGTTGTCAATTTCACTTAAATACTAAACAGTTTATCGTTGCTATATTTTGTTCTGCATATTAGTGAAGCAGTCTTTGTAGTGGCACTGGTGGTGGCGGCGGTGCTGGTGGTGAACCGAAGTAGGTGCCCTTCCGTTTCATGGGGCCCGCTCTCTCTTGACATCCGCTTTCCTTCAATCTGGCAGTCTTCTGCACCTTTCTTCTCTTGCAATTTCTCGTGCCCATTGACTGCCGTGCGATACTTTAACTTCACCCGGTCACTCAGTAGAAGTGTCTCCTCAACAAACATGTGCAGTCCATACTCGTGCGACCAGGAAACTCCTTCCAAGCCCCAATCTTAAGCCGCAAATCCCAAGCTTGACCCTGAAGCCCTAAATGCGACAGCCTTAAACAAAACCCGCAAACCTTAACCTCCAAAGCTCTAAGTAATCTAGCCGAAGGTCAGGGTCATAACACACTTCATGGCTGTTGAGAGGGGAGGGCTCGAGGAAACTTCCGGCGACGGGCCCTTGGACCTCAGAGTTCCAGGCTTTGAAGGGATCATGAGGGGTTTGGGATTTAGGGTTCAGAGTCCATAAGAGGTTCTGTAAAGGTCGATGTCTCTAAGGGCTCGAAAGCCTCTAGACAAGCTCTATAAGGGGTTCCATGACGAGGGGCCAGGTCGGTGGGCACTATAGTATGATAGTATGAGCAAAAAGCACCAAGGCACAGAAGCTGTTACCGGAAATCCATTGCCCATTGCTTCTAGGATTTACGGCTCCAGCGGTTCTAGGTCTTCGCCGATTTGGGGTTGCCGTTTATCAACAAACATCGGCAAGACTTGCACCAAAGCCTCAAATGCCACACCTGATATAGTAGCCTCTATAATGAACTGAGAAATTCTGACCCCAAAACTGAGGCCTGCAATTCTTCAAAACAAAACTTCATGATGAACAGACCACCTTCCGCACATTTTAGGTCGTAGGGGTGTAGGGTTAAGGGCTTGGGGGTGGAAGGTTTCGGGTTCTCCTGAGGCCCAGACGCCTACGCATTTTCTGCTGTAAGCTTTCGCTCGAGCGTCTTGGGCTGGCCGACTCTTGAAGTTTAGGTGTGGGCTCCGTCGACCCCATCCCACAACCCTCCTTGAACTCTTTAACGCTACAGCTCCAAACCCTAAGCCCGGGCTCCTAAACCGTAAGGACTCTAACCCGAAGGAATACCACCATCAGGTCGCGAGACTCCATCGCTGCAACGCTGAGAAGCACCACAACTGTTCCGACCTGGAGAACGGTCTGGGGCCCAGGACCTAGGGCTTTAAGGTTTCGAGGGTTTTCGGGTTGAAAAGTTTATTGGCAAAGCAGCGGCAACGGCTTATACAGGCGGACTACATGCCAAGAAACGTTAAACTTGTTCGATAAACCCAATCTGCCGGATCTACCTTAAAGACACGACCGGAAATTGCAAATGAGATCATTGGTAAAGGTCCCAGCTTTACGGGTGTTCACCGACAGCAGGTCTCCACACTTCAACATTCGGGTTTGGAGCAGGATGTGCATCTACGAAATACCCCAATTGACTCGGTGACCTTTGTTGTGAAAATGTCCTAGGGAACTGAAGGTGAACCTTTTTGCAACATAGGGGTTACAATGCCGCAGACAAGTTGGAGTTGAACCACTCGTCCACTACGAAGATGAGGTTGGCACAGCCCAGCACACTAGTGTAAGGCTAAAAGACGGGCTGGAGTTCAGGATGCAAGCATTCCAAAAACTGAAAGTTCGAGCCGTCAACAAGCTCGGACTCAGGCTGAGGTTTAAGTAAATGCATGCAGGCAGCATAGATGCAGCATGTAGTGGCCGCCCAGAAGACACCCAGCGACTGTCGGTCCAATGCCCCATTCGGCGAGAATGCCTCGTGATTCACCGTTGGTTGTCTTTTTTTCCCAAAATGTCGTCAACACCAGGCAATGTCTTTATGTCGCTCTCTCCCTCTCTCTCTCTCTCGCTCATTCGGTCCCCTTCATTTGCCAGCGCCCCTTGGAAGCCCATGCGGCACATGCTGACTGTGAATGAAGGCAAACCCGAAGTAATCGTGTCCATCATTCATGCTGGCAGGCAACAGGTCCAGCAGCTTCATCACCCAGCAAGCTCGTTTTCGGGAGTTCCTGCCGCATCTTTAGCATCGTGTGCCGCTTGTTCTGTATGGACACTCTCTACCAACGAAGACTACCGATGCTAAGTATGCTTCAGCGATCGTACAGTATCTGTCCTGATTGTGGATAGCTGCATAGATTGACCGTGCCGCCTGCGCGATGGTGGCAACTGTGGTCCTCAGTCATGCTCAGTGCGTGTCTGCATGCCATCCGAAGTGGTACTTGATGCTTGCTGCTTTTTTCACACGCCGTTGTCCGGCTGCACACATGGCTTGCTCGGGCTCTTCTGTAAGTGCCGCGCGTATACATGGCAAAAGCTGCCCACGGCCTGCAAATTCGTCTGATACGACGCATGCTACGGGGATCCTCCAATGTCTTCAATCGAAGATAAACCCTGCGCCCAGAACTCATCCTAAACAAGATTTTTGGACATGTGCCTGGTCTCCAGTTGAAGCTGCACCGCCCGCAAAAGAATCGCCACCAACAATACACACAGCATGGGCGGAAACCTGTCCAGTGCGCAGGCAGCAAAAGTGAGAATTTACGAAATTGTATGTGAAGCCGATCTCAAGCGAAACTTCGACCATGGTGCTGCAGCGAGGTTCGCGTAGGAAGCACAAGCGGATCTTCTTCCTGAGCCGGAGTGTAGGGTGCAGTCAGTCACGGAACACCACTCACCGTTCCACCAGGCGACCAAGTCCGGGCTCGACATCGGTGAAACCGCGCCATATGGGGGATCCTGCTTGCGGGCTATGTTCTGGAGAGATTCAACCGGCGGAACCGTTACAAACACTGAACTCTTCCACCATGCACCAGTGGTCACGATTAGGTCTGAAGCAATCTGCAGTCGAGCATTCCACATGTCGGAGAAGCAAACATGGTCCCTCAAAGGTCGACGCAGTCCTCCATTTTGCGAAGTTTGCGGGGGGCGGCCACGATCTCCCGGATGCCACTCTCGACCAGATACGACAACACCAGTGCAAGTGTACCTGATGCTTGCGTCCGAAAACCGGCGCGCACGTCTGTGATGAAATGCTGACGACAAGATGTGAACACGACCAGCGGGCATCTCTTACGACTTGCGAAGTGGCTGCGAAAGTGTAGCGAACACAATTCATGTCCGTGTCTGTTGTTGGATCTTGCCAGGAATTCTGAGAAAGCACTGAGCCGCTGAAGTAACGGAGAAAGAACACCGCCAAGGTGCAGTGCATGGATGGTCCCAGTGGCTCGCTGATGCCAGTCTGTGCCTGTCGCTGAGGTAGGGAACAAGGGCTGCAGCAAACCCCACATCTTACATCTTGTTTAATCAACTTATGTAACCAGGAAGCCACAACCCGAACCCAAAGGGTCATTGGATCGCCCATGTCCACTTCTAATGATTGACGTGTCACATTCGTTTCCTTGTGCTTTATTGAATTGAAGTAAACGTTCCACATTCCTTGTTTCGCAAACATTCAAGAAGGTTTCAGGTTAGGTGAGTCATAAGTTGATTAAGTGGCCTGGCGGTTACATCAGTCTCTTGTCCTTCTTGGGTGACTCAAGATCGGTGGTGGAAATCTCGTTCTCAAGGTCTTGTTCCTATAGCAGGATTCGAATGGATGAAGAGAATGCTGCTGTGGTTTCTTTGTAATTAAATGGAAACAAATGAAAGGAAAGAAATGCATGGTCAATTTAATTAAAAGAAAAACGCAGCATCATTTCGCTTCAGTCCTTCGTTGTTTAATTTAAATTGAAATAAACATGCGATCACTCGTTCACTTCTAGTAGAACAAAGTAGGAGCTCGCTTCGTGTCTAATGAAATGAACAGAAACGGCCACAAGATTTAGTTTAATGAAATGTACCAAATGTGAGAAAAAAGAGTAGCATTAGATTCATCATTTGCCGTTCATTTCGACCCCGCTCACGGTCTTCATTCTAGTTCTGTTTCAAGTTAAATTAAACCACTCACTTAATCTTCTCTCGCTAGAAATCGCATGACGGGTTCAAAGACCAAAAACCAAAGCCCATTATTTAGTACATTCTTACTTCTGTCATCTTTCCATCTCTAGAAGAAGTGAATAACAAACCAAGAGAAATAAGAAATGAAGCCAGCGCTGCGTTCATTCATCCTTCATGCTCTTGCCCGTTAATTATCAAGATGATTCAAGATGTAAACATCAGTCATCATGTTGAAGTGGGGACGCTGTGTGCGAGTCCTCTGAAAAATTGTCATTGCCGGGCCATGCAGGGGACATCTGGAATCATCTGGGTACATGCTCCTCCTGTCAAGTAGTTCAATAAAAGAAACAAACGCACATTGGCCTGCATGGTGACGGTGCTCAACACGATGGCGCCACAGCACAGGAACAGAAAAGCAGTGGCAGTGTGGCGCACACCAATCATCGCAGTCGTAATGGTGTCCTTCCAAGCTCGGACTTGCAACTTAAGAAACTGATTGATGCAGTTGGTGCAGCCTGCCTGAACTTCGGAGTCACTATGTCGGACTGACGAAACGTCCGCGATGAATCGAACAAAGCAGGCGAGGGTCGCACCATACCTCATTGCATGCAGCAATCCAGACTTTGAACACGCATTGGCATGCCATGTGGCATCTTATGGAGCAGCTCGAGAAACGAGTCCAAGTCACATGCACAGCTGTGCCCACATGGGGGGTGCGCCCAACGCATTTCCTGCCAACTGCACCGCACGCAGCCTCGGCAACGCAAGCATGTAGTGTCCGTAGTATACAATGAAACCACCAAAATGACTACTAGAACTGTTGCTAGTATTGCATCACCTGTACTGATATCCTATAACTACAGCCATAGGCATCCACGGGCTGCATTGCGTGCCAAGCCACCGCGTCCCAATCCTTAGTGCGGCTGTTGCGGGGGTCTGCGGCGATAACTCCGTGACTTCGCTGAAGTGTTCTTGCCAGGCCCAAGCGGCATTAGTATGGCAATAACCGGGACCAATGACAAAGCCTCCGTTGCCTCATATCATGACGCGAAGTTCTGTGCGGAACAATACCAAGCTGATGCAACATCTCATGCAAATTGTGCCTTCACCAAGCGAGCTTCGATACAAGCAGCGGCCACCTGCACAAAAAAAAATGCGTCAGTGCAGCGCGAGTTGTTTGGTAGAGTAGGTCACGGCAGCTCTGCATCTGTACGACTGCAGCAATGCGCGGGAATGATCAATGGCAAGCCTCTCTCACACTCGCCACAAACCGGCTCATCCGCAACAAAATGACCTTGGCCGCATCACAACGAGAAGCAAACCCTTGCAAATAATCAGTGCTTTGTCGTGCGGCCACGGTGCTGCCAGGAAAACGCTGAAGAACAAACTGCTCAGCAGCATCGTGCATCGTAAAGCCTCGGCAAGTCACGATACTTGACGGACTTGACTTGCTTCAACTTGCGTTCTAACGTCCAACTGGTTGGTTCAGAACTGACCCGACATGGCCATGTCTGTCACAAGCGGAAACTATTTTTTCCGACATGACGTCGGCAGTCTGCTGGGCACGACTGACACGACATGAAAGCTGGGCATCTGGCCGGCGCAACCGGCACTGGGCTGGGTGCCCCTAGAACTTCATTTCCTGCAGATTGCGTATCTGCGCAACCGGTGCATGGAAACGTTGCACTTACCCTGCGACATGCACCTGCCTCCAAACGACAAGCGCAAAGCTTCTTCCACGTCCGTGGCGGCGAAATTCACCTCAAAAAAAATCACCCCACATAAAACTGGCTATGACCTCTTGCTATACAATGTAGTCCATCGGAGTTCCGGTCCGAAACAATGGAGCTTGCAGGTTCAACAACAAACGAAGCTGGTTACTGTAGCGGAACAAGAAAACGGTATGGCGTGTCATTCCATACGACTCAAGAATGGCGACCCGAGTGCTGTAGAACTCTGATGTCACAAGTGTTACACACCCTTGGCTTGCGCATGCTGTATTCAATCTTTCACGTCCTGCATATAATTTCGATTATTTTACAAGTCCACCTGACTGAGAATCCGCAGTCTAGACGCATCCCGGCAAGCACTCGAACAAACTCTGGCAGCGGCAAAACAGTGTGTGCTGCTCCAACGCATGCAACTTACACACAACATATTTCTGTTGGTGAATCTTTGCTCGTTGTGCATGAGTTCGCCCTCACACGAGGAAGCAATGGTAGCTGCGTGGCCTTTGCATGCTGCGTCCACCTGGCCGTTTAAGCGCAACTTAGGTCGGGCACGACTTTAAAGTGAAAACGCCTGTGGCTTTGGGTTACTTGTGCATGTTATTCACAATGCAGTTGTTGTATACACGCCCACATGCACCCAAGACACCAAATCCATGGCTGGCCACCACTTGCGTTGTCGCGGAGACCGCGGAAGTCTTGAGCCACAACATGACGCCAACGATTCGTCGCAAATGTTTCACTAGACGCCGTTGATTCCATTTGAGCCGCTGCGTTTATTTACGGCTTAAGCTAATTGCGGTATCTCGAGACGGTGCCCTTATTGCGTTTCATCATATTAAATACTGGCAGAAATTCTTGATCTCGTTCAAGTATCAATGGTAGTAGCCCGTTAACTCTCACAGCCATACATGTACCTGATCTCGTTTTCTGCGGTGACCCTATCTCGTTCCCCTCTTAAAGGAAGTTCTGACAAATAACATGCCGCGCGGAGGTGTGTCGTTTCAAAAGAGCATGGTATTGACGTAAATAACAGCCGTCGCTCGTTTGTTTCCACGTGCATGTCGGTAGTGGGACCCCTGGTGATCTTCCAGTCGGCGTGGTTTTCGGTTTCCAAACCGTGCGGCAGCCGACAAGGCGATAGGCCACTAAACCGCTGCATTTTCGCTTGCATAGGCTGAGAAGATAGGCAGCAACAACAACAATAATAAGAGTTGTTGTTGTTGTTGTGCTAGTAATGCTGTTCACGGCTGGCATTGCTAGTCATGTTAATGCCAGCAGTAGTAATAGTAGTAGTAGTAGTAGTTGTTGTAGTTGTTGTTGTTGTAGTTGTAGTTGTGGTTGTTGTTGTTGTTGGCCCGTACAACCTGTAAACACGCAAAACCGACATGCCCATTCCATCGGTATTTACTGTGTTTTCGACATTTCAGGTGCCGAATATATGGGTGGCGTCGGCGTTCCCGGCGTCTACAAATTCACGATTTTTTTTTTT